TTAATTTTTAGTATTTATCAAAGAAAGACAGTAATTCGTTTTTTGAAAAACCGACTTGTTTTTTAAAGAGCTTTTTATACGCTACTATTAATTTTGTTCCTGTATTTGTACAGGGTGGCCACTAAAAGACTGAAAGATGTATATGTATCTGCAATGTTAGCCTTTAAGTCTTTCAGTGGCCACCCTATATATACCCAAATGTCTTTACGAAAGATAGTTTTTCATTATTGTTTAATGTTTACTAAACAATGTTACCGATTTGTTTTTGGAAGAGCTTTATATACGCGGTTGTTGATCTCGTTTCTTTACGTTAATATGTCTGTCTTCACGAGAAGATGTGAAGTTTTTCATTTACTATGCCTCCACCATCGGTATTTTATAAATTCGGATTTAACTCGGAAATGCGGTGTGGCGACGGGTTGGTAGTAAATAAGTCGATGATGGAGACGCACTCAATGTCGAATTTACCCAATCCGGTATTGAATAAATATCCATGGTGGAGACGTAGTTATTAATGTACAGCATTTACTAAACAAAGTTATGGATCCGTTTTTGGAAGACTTTGTATACGCTAACGTCAATGTAGTTTCTGTGTTATAATATGTCTAAGTGTCAGTATACTTAGATACAAAATGATGTGAGCGTTTCTTTTAATGTTTTGTATTTGATAATACACGTTACTGCATCTTTTTTTAATGCCTTTCATACACTATTATTAATGTAGCTCTTTTATTTTAATAAGCTTAAGAGTCTGTACGGAAAAATGTAAGATTTTCAATTAATGTTCAATATTTACCGAAGATTGTTATCGAACTTTTTTTAAGCTTTTTATATGGCATTGTCAATTTATGTTATTTACTTCAATAAATCCATGTAAAAGTTTATTAATAGGACTAAGAATTATTTATGACCCGATCATTTTACAGTAATATATATGGAATATTTTTATTAATAGTATGACAATATTTTTTGAATATCTGAACAAATATTCCTGTGGATATTATATGATTGTCCACCGGGCGGACATTCTGCGTTCCATGAATATTCATTGTATATCTTAAATATTTGCATCATATTCTGGGAACAATATTCGACGTAAATGTTCGTAGAACATTCACAAGATCCAATAGTGTTATCTGGGTTGACACACATCGATAGAATGGATAAAAGAATATTATAAATAATTATTACATACTTACTCAGAAACCACTCGAACAACCACCACAATATTGAACACCCACAAAATACCACTCAAAAATAATTATTCTTCGATTAATCACTGTTGAACATTCACAAAATGCCACTCAAAATTAATTATTCTTCGATTAATCACTAACCGTGACAGCATCGAAGAAGGTCTGATTATTACTGACTACAGATATCCCCTAGCCTGATCAGGTTCATTCCCTACCTATAGCGTGACGTCATCTCCGTGGCCGTCTAGCAGCGTAGTGCAAACTGACAAGATCGCTTGGCGCGAACATGAAGACGACGACGACGACGACGACGACGACGACAACGCCATATTTGAATGACATATTTTCGGCCGATAAATGCAAATACATGTACATATCTCTGCATTCAGTGCATCAAACCACATAATTTCGATTGTTTTGGAAAGGGAAAAATCCAAATAAATCATATACGTCCGCATTAACCGACAAAATTAATTTATTCGAAGCTGAGAAGTGTTCCTTTGAAAACATATTCTTGCTCGAGTAAAGGATACACCGTAGCGTCGCGCAATACTTTCACTTATTATATACTAGGCGCGAGACGCTACCGCGTCTCCTGATTTGAACAAATTTTGCGGTAGGCATTAATTCCGCGGAGGAGCGGCAAGCATCAGCGCGCCCATTCTGTGTTCAGACTTGCGAAAGCAGGCGGGGTCCCGAATTGGGAGACTTGCTATCATCGGCCGGCGGTTGCCCGAGTAACCTAGTTTAACTAGGCGAGATGGCAGAACGGAGTGCCAGGATTAAGTTGCGCCGAGGCCACCAGGACAAAGACGGCGATGAAGAAGACCTTCCGACGGGACGGACATTGCCAGAGGGATCACTGCTGAGTCTACATCTCGTCCCGGATCGTCCCGTTCAGCGGCAGCGTTGTCCCTTTTTTGCCGAGTGTTTTCTGCCGCATTCCGAAGAGCACTGTACTGTCAAGGAGTTTCCGAAGGGCGTCGTGCTGTCGCAACTTCACGAAGGATGCTGTACCGTTCCCGTCGGGAGGTCTACCGGCCGAAGCGCCTCAACGAAGCAACACCGGTGAACCGGAACAAGCTCGGGGGCCTCAGTAAATCGCAATCTTACTTTCGTCTCGCACCGTGAGCCGATTATCGATTGCTAATTTCCGATTATCGATTTTCGACCGCTTTTCGTAGCTTGCAGGTATTCCGTGCGCTTCCGATGAGTCGTTGCCCTTAAAGATCATTCTCGAGTGCTGCGCCGTCCCTCGATTGGGTTTCGTAGATCGCGTATTCACTCAGTGCCAGCCGCGGCTATTTTCCCGCGCCCGTGGGGCGAGACCTGTGTGTATTTCCTTGTGAAGCTGTCCGACGGGTTGTGTACCAATTTCTAGTCGATAGTATCGTCGGGAGAAAACCCTCACCCGCTCTCGCGTATCGTGCCCCTTATCGTGGATTTATGGATGGTATCTTATCGCTTATCGTGGCTGCCGGAGAGCAGGTTTGGGTGAGCGAGAGGTAGATAGAGTGCAAATACCGCAGGCCGACGCCATTCTCCCATGCGCATATATCGGGCGTCAGGCCGTTATAGAGGCACCGAGGGGTCCGTCATAGGCCCCTCCGACAGGGCGTGTGCCCTTTTTGGGTTCCCATGGAGGGGTCCCAAATTTGTTCCCCCCATCGAGCGGTCCGTCACGATCGTCAGGTGTTCCCGTAAAGTACAGTGCTCTGTTTCGACTCCGCAAGCGGAGTGAAGTAAATTGTAGTGCGCAATCTTGTAGGTCGAGTGTAATTGTACGAGACGGCAGTATTGTAATAAAAATCCCGCGGGAATCGTTTACCACAAACACGCGTCTTACGTTATTTGAGCATTATTCTTGTCCCGGGGATTTCAAAAGCGACTCCCCACTCATATCGTTTTCCATGCCGAACCCCCAACTGTGCCGTGCCGAGAGCGTGCGGTTCTCGCGGGGCTGAGTAGCCAATCGGGTACACCCTGTGAGATCTTGTCAACCAGGCTGGATCTAAGTGCCCCGGAAGCCGGACACCGGGATTCCGCGGTGCGCGTGCGCGCAACGCGCGACGCCCTTACACAAAGCAGGATTTCGGGTAAGTCGAAGTCCGAGCTTAGCCCCTACCGTTCTCAGATTTCAGGGAGTACAACTGTTCGTCGACCAGGGAAGGCAATTCCCGTTGCAATACTTAATGTCTAATTGTTTCGGAGATATGAGTCATGAAGATAAGGTAAAAATGAAAGTGAGCCGAGCTTGTGAAAGGGCCTATGCCTGGCTTATGAGCGACTAAATTCGTTGACGTCCTCCTTAAATGAATCCAGTCGTATGACTGCGCGTGAACACTTTCAGCCTGTAGCGTGCTCTAGGGTTGGAGGTCTTCTAAGAACCTCCTATACAACGGATCTTGATGCGCTTGGATCGCCGGAGTACCGAGTAGCAGAACTGTGGCTCGAGGTGTAGGTAACCTTCCTAAGAGTTCGATGGTTTCGGTTGCCGACTCGCTAGGAACTGAGAACAGAGAACCAGGATCTCCAAATTCGGGGTTGACTAACGTTGACGATGATCGATGACGAAGGTCAGTTGCGAAGAGTTTTCAACTACAGAGTAAGGCTTAAGGCATCCATTTGTTTGCCAGTTGCTGGTTTTAATGACGGATTTGCGCCGGCATTCCAGGTGGCGGGGATCCCATGATCTAGATAAGGGCGGTGGTGCAGGAGCATCGGATGCGCTGCAGAATTATCAGGATGATTTTTGGGTCGTTTGATGGCCTCCTGGTCTACTTGGGTTGGTAGTCTGATTTTTGTCAGGCAGACTCAAGACTTCCTTTCGGGCTACCGAATTATGATTATTTCGAAATTCACGTAAAGAATGCCGTAACAGGTGATACTATCGTTGCTTCGAATTCGAAATTTATCTTCCAATAACCAACTCATACTTGATGTAATGCACGCCTCTCTATTTTGAGGAAATAAAGACAATCTCATAACATACACCCAGCTGCCTGTTATTGAACAATGGTATAGACGACTTTGGTGAGGTATATTAAAAAAAAATATAAGGTAAATATTTTTTTTAGGTAAGAACGTCAAAATATAGCCCAAGGAAAAATTCATTCGGGGGTTTTTCAATACCTGTTCGAAAAATATGAAAATTTTTATAGAAAAGAACAAAAGGGTATCCGGATATCCGATCGTTGGCATAAGGGTTAAGCAAGAGGCGCAAAAATTGTTTAAGATTTTCTACAATATTTGTCTTTACGCGGTAGTTAATAATACAATACTTACAATTAACACGTTCCCTGCCGCGTGGAGAGTATACGCCCCACGATCTATTTACGACAGCGTACTCGTAATTTGTTTCGGCACTGAACGTGTTAACAAATTTTTGAAACATAATTATTCAAAATATAATCACTATAGTAAGATAATGGAGCGATTACAACATTGTTTGAGAGTACATAGCTTTACTAGAAACAGATTAAAACCTACCTACATATATATTGTCACAAACGTTTTCATTTGTACAGTTTTACACTCTTGCAGATCCTCTCAAAAGTGCTTAACCGTTTTAGTGCCACGCAGCGCGATCGCTCTTTTCTCGAACTGTGTCGCAATGTTTGGTCCCGATCGTCAATTCGCAACGCTGTCGCGCTTCATGGCACAATCCGACACGGATTTTTAAAAACCCCTGGCACTAAAACGGATAATAATTTCTTGTGTGAGGAACAATTGTAAAATTCTTGTAACTTGTAACACGCAGATTAGTACTTGCTTCATATTTGACAATTGACAAACAAAACCCAATATTGACAATTCGTTTTTTAATGACAGGCTCCCTCATTTTTCATTTATAATTCAAATTATTTAAATAATCAACTTAAAGTTATTCTAAGTATTAATTGTAATCTATCTGGTCTTTCAATTCTGCAGCATTAATTTTTTTCTCGGGGGTTCATCAGGATCCACAACTTGTGAAGCTAATTCGCTTTTTTGCAAATCGTTCTTATTCACTGCATTTGAAAAGTCTTCCTGATTTTCACTTTCAGTAGAACCCAGAGGATGTGTCTGGACAACAGGAGAAGTTGAAATTTCTTGCGGATTTAAAACTTGAGAAGCTGAAGATCCACCCTTTTGGGTGTTATTATTGTTAGTAGTACAAGCCTGAAACTTGTATAGGTCAATAGTAGCGCACTTAGTGCAATTAAATGTCTTGTAAATCCCAACCAAATAATTAGCCATTTCAAACATATTGGAACGCAAAGAAATAACGATAAACTGGGCATTTTTTGCCCTCTCTTTGATATAGTTGCTAACTATGGAAACGTTTTTGAAATCAAGTGCAGCATCGATTTCATCCATAAAATAGAGAGGTGTGGGCTTATAATGATGAAGAGCAAAGACCAATGCCAATGAACTCAGCGTTTTTTCCCCACCACTGAGGTTTGAGATGTTCTTCCAAGATTTCTTTGGGGGTCTAACACTAAAAACAATGCCTTCACTGAAGGCATCCAGAGAGTCAACTAGTTCAAGCTCGGCATCCCCACCCAATGTGATCATTCGATACATCTCTTTCAGTTTGCAAGTAATCAAACCAAACCCAGAAATAAATTCTTCGGCCCTGCGACGCCGGGCTAATTCATAAGTGTCTCTGAATTCATTCCTCTGTTTGGTAATGTCTTCGAACTCAGCGGCTCTCTTCAAGTACAAGGCATCCATCTCCTGATATTCTTGAATTAATTGCATATTTGGAACCTGTTCAGGAAGACTTTCCTTCGCCGATTGTAGAGCAGCAGCAATAGTTTTGCTATTCAGAGCCTTTACTTCTTCTTCCGTCATCTCTGGAAAGGGCTCACATATTTGACCAGGGACCAACTTCAGCTTCAGTGTGCCGATCCTTTTCGAATAATCGGAGAACGTATGGCGAAGATTCTCGACAATTCCTCGAATGTCCTGGACTCTTCTATCTAAGTCGATTTTGAAAGCTTTCATGTCCCTCTCCCGTGTTTGCATTTTCTCGAGCGCTTCCTTTAAGGTGGCCTCACTTTCTTCCTTGTCAACCAGTGCCGCATTTATCTCTGACAATTCGCCTAGGACGACTTTGGCTTCTTCCTCAAGTGTACCCTTTTCCTTTTGGATCTGTCGAATCCTCTCCTCACAATTATGAACGTCATCTTCCAAACTCTCGATTCTTTGTTCAGTTTTCCTGCTGTTTCTTTCTGCGGTTTTTATTTCTACCTGCAGCTTGCAGATTTCCGCTTTCGTTTTATCTAATGTCGTAGTCAAAGCAGTGATGACCTTGCGTTGCTCTTTTACTCTGCCGCCCGAAATCTCATCCATCTGCCGATTAATTTTCATTACCCGGTCCTCGATTGATTTGGAGATTTCCTCTTTATCATTTAAACCTTTTTCAGCAGTGGCCACAACATCGGTTAATGTTTCCAGCTTGGTTGGGTCATTTGCACTCTCGGATACCTTCTTTTTCTGAACAACGAGCTGTTTTTTTAGCAGTAGTAGCTGTTCCCTCAAAGCCTTCTCCTCAGTAGTGCATTTTTGGGCCTCAAGTTTCATTTCCGATAAAGCATTCGTTAGAGTGCGTACCTGGTCTTCTAACGGAACTTGTTCGACTCTTAAGCGATTACATTTTTCATAAATGGCATCCAAATTCACTTGTAACGTTTCGACATCTGCTGCGTTAGGTTCAGCTCGGATGATACTCTGGCCCATACGACCTCGACTAACCGTGCGGCCACCACCACTCATCGTCCCTAGAAGTGCACATTTTCTCTTATTGAATTTTACAAATCATTAAATAATTTTAAACTTAAGTACGGCTTTTTTAAGTACAATTAAAATATATATTCGTCTTTTCATACCTGACATTTCTATTAATTCCCCAGAAAGGGTAACTACCCGGTAACGTTTAGCACCATAAGCAATTCGCGTGGCTTGGTCCAAGTTGTCAACGACCAGGGTGTCCTGCAATTATTTATTGAGCAGTGACAGTTCTAATATCTTAAACTTTACACATTCTTGGAATCCAGGATTTCCAGTATTTAAATATCAGGATATATTGCAGCTTGTAGTAATTAATTTTAATCCTTAGTAATCAATTACTATATTAAATGAAATATGTTATATTGCATATGTCACGACAATATTTCAGACAATTTATGAAAACCTAAAGATTTTTTATTGGATTTTTAGTATGGTCTCGTTTCTGATTTTTTTCCAAAATATCAACCTCAATCTGCTACCTGTAATCCGTAGTAGAAGGCTGGTAAAACGTTCTTGTCCTCAACCTTAATCAAATCGAATAATCGGGGGACGTCCTCTGGTGTCTGAATTTTCTGATTACATTGCTTTAAAAACCGCTGCTGTTTTTCTAGTGGTATAAATGTAGCTCGACCAATGTCATTTTGACGAAGAAAAGTGATACACGCCTCCGCTGTTGTTACTTTGTCCACAACAATGTTATCCAGAGGACCACAGGCCGTTGACACTGCCACATCGTATTTGCTATCAATAGCACCCAAGTCACCCTAAAATATTATGGAGAAAGAAATATGTTTAAATCAAGTATTATAATTTACATATTTCATGAACAGTAAGGCACATATATAAAGTACTTTTCTTTTAGAAGATGCCCGTATACAATATTAACTTACTAAATTATTTACAGAAATGGATACATTTATATTAATTTAATGTAGAATTCATTAAGTCAAAACAGTAGATAATCAAAACGTTTATACGTTTATTTCTTTAACGAACTCTACCGAAAACCACGTGAACATTTTTGATAACTTCATATTTTTATATAAAAAAGCAAAATGATTCTTGCAGAAGAAAATAAAAAAGATATTTGCAAACACTAGCATCAATGTAAACTTTGTTACCAATCTGCCAAATATCCCAGGTATTCTCCCTTCCCTTTTTTCTCGCATCAGCACATCTAATACTCGATTCCTGGATCTACTGGCATTCATAGCGGCTCTTTTCTCTTCTACAATAAGCCTTGTATCTTTTAGCTGTGCACTAACAGATGCCTCTTCCTTTCTGACGTTATCCAAATCCTTTTGAGCTTTTTCCAAACTTTGTTCTGTAGCAGGTATCTTACAACTTAAAGTAGTGCTTCGTTGTTTACACGATTCAAATTTCCCTTCCGTGTCCTTCAAATCTTGCTCAAGTACTTCTAGCTTTTGCTTCTCTTTCTTTTCAATGGACGTGTACAAATTCAATTCAGATCTTGCAATTTCGTACACTGCTTTTGCATCATCCACTTCTTTCCGGCGGGTTATCAGTTCGGTCTCCAATGTCGTTCGCTGCTTCAGTAAAGGCGCAGTTTTCGTTTGCAAGCCTGCCATTAGGTTTGTCAAGGCATTTTCCTGCTTTGTTCGGTCTGCGACGTACTTTTCTGCAAGCTTCTGATATTCTTCAATGGTCTTCACATTCTTCGTTGGAACTTTCATCAAGTCATCTAACTTAGCTTTTTCCTGATGAAAATGAAAACTATAATAATCAAGATTGTTAATAGATGTCAACTACTAGGCTATTAACAAATAGACTAGAACATACTGCCTTTACAGAAGCCATAGTGGCTTTTCTCCGTTTGTTTGTCTCGATCAGTTCGGCGTGTAAAGCTTCGTCTTGTCTCTTGATTTTGTCGAAGTTCTCTGTGGCTGATTCCTTTTTGCGCACAAGAGAATCCCATTTTTTAGATTTATCTTTAATTTCAGTCATTAACTGTTCCTTTTCACGTTTAACTTCCTTCATTTGTTCTATTAGGCTATTTACATCTTTGTCCATATCGATTCTTTTGGCTTCTTGTTCGTTGAGCATCTCTGATGTTTCAAGTCTATTGAAATTAAACTTTAATCTTAAAATTAATTCTTATGTTTGATAAGAAAAAGTTTAGAATTCCGTACCTCTTGCAGTGATAAAGCTGATGCTGTAACCTTGTTATTTCATTTTCCAATTTCAAATACTCTACAGCGGAACGCATCGGCTCTTCTAAGTTAGACTTTTCTTTTTCCAGGATACGAAGACGATTTAATTTTTCAATCCTGTACTCTGACAACGTCTCAACTTTTTGTGACAATTTTTCTAAAGGTTCTTTATATCGAGTTGTACCAATAATATCTTCCAAAAACTCTAACATACCGATATCTCCCTCACTTTGTCCTTTTGGCTTCATCATTGCTATTTGTTCGACTTCTCCCTGATAAACAATTACAGAAATCAATAAGGTGAATAATGCAGGACAAATTTAAATTACGGTACATGTATACTATCTTACCTGAAGTATTAAAAAACGATTGTAATCCAAGTCGATACCATACGATCTTAACATTTTTGTAACTTCCTTGAATTGTATTTTTTTATCATTGTACTCATAATATGAAGTATTATCTTTATACACTGTTCTGGATATAATAAACTGACTATTGGGTACAACATCATATCCTCCTTCCGCCTGAAAAAAATATATAAATATTTCAAATGTTAAAAATAATGTAGATTTAAATACTGTCAATAAAAATGTTGCTGTTAGAAAATATTTACCTTATCTACAATTTGTTGGAAGTGTACCGCGACTTTACATCTTTTTATATTGGAAGATTGATTAGAATTATGAATTGCACCTGTTATTTTCTTTAACCGAAATTTATTTGATCGGCAACCGAATACGAATAACATTGAATCAATAACATTGCTTTTGCCACTACCGTTTGGACCTACTATTGCTGAGAATCGCTATGAAATTATAACAGTATAAATTAATACATTTAATATTTTTGTAACAATAAAATTATAGTTTAGGGCAGTTAATTCACCTCATGGAAAGGTCCAACAATTTGTTCACCTCCGTAGCTTTTAAAGTTTTCATTAACAATTTTTACAATCATCAATCTAGGCTCACCGGTCTTGATTTCTGCCATATTTCGAGGGGGTGGTGGTATATAGATTTCCTTGTTTATTCGCAAACTTCCTTCCTCATCACTATGGACCCCAATCTCCTCACTATCGCTTGCATCCATATCTTGGATTTCAACGTTTCTGTTAGAAATATTTGCAGACATTCTAAAAGTATTAACATGTCATTATTTCGTTATGAACATGAAACGAACATAAAACCACATAAATTGATATGCTAAGCAGTGTACAAAGAAATTAAAGATTTTAAGTATCAGCGGTCAGGGTTGTTCTTTAAACTCGTTGTGCTTTCCGGGAAAGACCCGCTGCCCATTGCATTGCGGCCTGTGGACCGACGATTTAAAGGCCATTCCAATCACAAGTGTACATTAGGAATTAAATGATACAAAAGAAATAATCCATTGCAGTCACATTATAAAATAAACATGAGAAGTGCATTTTTAATCACACATCTCCTTACGAGAAAACGTTACATTAATAGAGGCAGCCATTTTTTTTTTGTAGGTTAGCCTAGAGCTAAAATAAGAAGACACGTGTCCGAGTATTCATTCCAATGACCCTTATTTCTCGAGTTATCACATTTAAAACTACATACATATCCGTAACATATCATGTAAAATTTAAGGAAAAATTATCATTCGTGAGCATCGATTGTGACAATAGATAGAACCACGGCGCCGTTTGGCTGGGTCGTACAGTTGCAATGCCGTCGTCTAGATTGGGTCTTACTTTCCCGAAACATATATAAATCCCGAGGTCAGATTGCACCAACATTCATATTAAAATCCTTAATGAAGGATTACTTAAGCATTATTAAAATTAAGCGCCCAATTTCAGGTGGCCTCCTAACAGTGGATTTCAAATCTCGGTTGGCTTAATATTTGTCGGTACAAATGGCCCGGGGAAGTGGATTGCGCTAATAAGAAACTTTCAAGGAATTCGTCTGCGATCTTGTTTAATTTTTTTTATTTTGTTGAAAAACATTCTGAGAAACGTATTCTTTTATACGTGTGGTAAAAAAGTTTGAAGGGGTGAAATTACTCTAAAAAATTAAGCATTTAAGGCAATGATTTCACAATTTTACCCTTTACTGATTTTAATGGAACAAAATTCAAAACTATTTTTTTTATTTTTAAGATATATTTTGTTACAAAATATAACATGCTATGTGTTTAGCACGGGGATTTATTACGGCTATGCACTCAATTATTACTTTATGGGTATACTTTCGTCAAATTTAATTTTCATATAACACCCCATGCGCGTATTCGGCAAAAGTAACTGATTTCATTGTTTTTGTGCGATTAATCGCCACTATATGGATATGATTGTGCAAAATATACTTTTCCAATTGGATGTATTTGACACAATTTTTTTTACGCCGACGGTGTTTTTGTGGTGATATAGTAAACTGGAAGGCTCGCCACGCTTAAGAATACACGGCGAGCTTGTTCCAGAGAGAGATAGATTTGGACGTCCCTGCATTCTTGTCGCACGAAGTTCGGCAAGCATTTGTCCGAGAAAAATGAAGCGATGGATGCTCTTTGTCGCAGTTCCATTCCCAAATTAATCAATGCGTGCGGATCGTTTGTACCGTCCGAAAGGAAAATTTAGTATCATTCACAATTGGCATCGTGCAGTGAGCCAAACTTAATTTGTAATTGGACTGTACAAAAACGGTCCACGCTGGCGACCTTTCCAGTATACTATATATTTCAGTGTCTCAACGAGACACTGTCACGCAACGCTTCGTGCCTCCGGAATGGTCGTTTCCCACAAATCCTCTTTCAGTGACGCCATCCATGGATATTAGAACAAAGTATCTCGAGTGCGGGAAATTCCAAAATGAATCGAAAAATGTGTCGAACCCTAATAAAAATTCAAAAACGTGTTCAGAAACTCCCGAATCTTAGGTAAAATTCCCCGAAATCACACGCTCAGTCCCGAAATCTGGGACTCACATCACCTCATGTTCGACGATAGTCGCTTAGCATCGATAAGAATCGTCAAAGGCTCTCGAAATGTCAGTAACATGGTGCAGGAATCTTTATCCAGCACCGGCAGTGCCTATCCTACTACCCTTATCCCGAGAGTTCAGTTTCACGTTATTGCATATCTAATTTCATGTTATTGGATATTATTGTAATAGTCTACGCCAAGAGGTCAAGCCTTTCTGTGAGCTAATTTCGCGTCATTGTGTTCGCCTCTCAATTATCGTTTAGTTTACTGATCCGGTACCGAATTTTCTGCGGGCTATTTCTGTTCATTTTTCGGCAAACTCTGGTCTACATGTCCAGCGCTTTCCCCGCTCGACCACATTTTCTTTGGACGGCCTTTCGCCGACAATGTTGATGTTATAATTATCCTATTCAGGAGAATCATCTATTAAACCAATTAATTTTCTATTTCTTTTCCCTTGTTGAAATAAATTGACGTACGATTTTCTTCACTGATTTCTTTGGTTGGATTCTGGTATTTTCCATTTAAATTTTCCCGGTAGTTTGGTTTTGCTCCGTCTTCTCCGAAACCTTGGCGCGTACGTTTTGAACCAATTGACCACGCCGTGACAATCGTCGAGGCAGGAAACCGTTCGCGCCTATTACTTCGAGTTCAGCCTCCGGAACTTTTGAGCTTTGGATTTAGTCCGTTTGTCTTTTTGGGGATACCTGGCACCCAACTTTGTGCTTCCTGGTGAAATTTCTGTCGCGCGACTCGAACGACTCCGCCGAGACGATCGGGCAAAAATGATGAGCGAACGTTTGGGCATCTAGTTCCAACATCGTCTAAAAGGGGTTTGGATGGTTTTCTTTGAAATAGAAATCGCCATCACAGTATTTTAATGTAAAATTAGTGCAAAACTTGAATCTTTAAATGGTAATAAATATTTGTACATTGGAAAGTTTCTAATTCATAAGACACGGCAAGAATGAGATCGAAATAAACATGTGATTTTCTACATATATGTTCTATTTATAAGCAATATAGGTGGAAAATGTATAAAGAAACATATGGTTCGACAAAACGTATACGTATTGTTCAGAATAACTTATCGAAATACTTACAGGCATTCTTGACACACGTACAATCTCTTTGCATAAACTCACTATTGAGTGAAAAAATACTAGGATAAAGTACGAATAGACGCCTACGTTTTCAACGTATACTTTTGAAGTCTAAGTTTCCAAACAATTTCATGTTCATATCATACCGTAGTAATTTATCTTCATTATATTTTTCAATTATTTGCCTAGTATCAATAGTTGTTATAATAGAACAAAAATATTAAAGATCTCGATTTGGGCATCTATCTCCCTCGGGTGGGATAGATGGGTGAACAGACAGATACCCTAAGGGAGAAAAAATGAAATCATAATGAATTTGTTTGAAAAATCATATTTTTAATATTGGCAAAGGGGTTATACTACCTAGGCGCACTGAAAAACGAAGTTTTTTCCGGGAATTTTTTTCTCTATTACTAAACAATGAATCAAAATAAAGTTTTGAGACTTTATTCTATGTGTATTAAGGTTTACAGAAATATTTTTTATTTACATTGAAGGTATATAATAGCGCCGTGGCATTAGGTAACTTGAAAAAATATTTTTCCGGAGGAGGAAAACGGTGTACACGGTAGCAGTCTACAGGCGCCACCTAAAGGAAAATAATTTTTTTTTCTTAATCTACATTAGTTTTTGTTTGGAAGCACCCAAGACTTTTAATTTTTTTTTTAATTTACAAATTGGCAACAATTTTAATTTTTTTCTTTTTTTCTTACAAGGAAGGTACCTGAGGTGTCCCCCTCCGATTTTGTTCACTTTTAAATATGTTATAGAGGACTAAAATCTAAGGGACCCGTGTTTTTTTTTATCGGCGGATAAACACTTTTAGGGGGTGAAATCAGGCTTCAAAGTTGGCCGTGAAAGGGGGTGAGTTTGCTGTTTCATATAGAAGCACTCGACCAATTTTCATGGAACAACCGTCAAAATGTAGGGAATGAAGAATTATGAAACATGCATTTGGAATTTTTCGAAAAAATTCATTTT